GATGAGATGAGATGAGATGAGATGAGATGAGATGAGATTAGATGAGATGCAATCAGATACGATGAGATGAGATGAGATGAGATGATATGAGATGATATGAGATAAGATGAGATGAGATGAGGTTGAACCACTTATGTTCCCGCAATGACTATATTGACAGTAGAAGTGGATAGACCTCACTTTTTCACCTAAGCTGTGTCGTTAAAGTGACCTCGAAAAACTCCCTTTACCCGGATTACTTTTCACAGTAGTCATGGTAACCATCTATGCTGTGAAATTTGTACATTTCTAGTCGTAGCGTCCTAATCCTAGTTGATGTCTGGGCGTATACCTGGGTCCCGTGAAAGTCTGGTTATCTAGTCTCTACACTCTCATGATAGCTATAGTCACCATGACTGATGGATCAAGCGTGATGACTGGGTAGCTATGAGAAATGTACCCGATACGGCGTCCTCAACCCGAAGGTTCATTAACGAAACGTTGATTTGGTACATCGACGGTGCAGAAGTTGAAAAGGGGCTGTACTTAGTCTGGGTAGCAGTAAATGATTAAGTAACAATAAATGAATCTTCCCACAATCATACGATTAGCTACAGGTCACTTAGTTCAAATGGCATTCAAAGTCATAGTCCTCTGAATGTCGGCGTATCCATTTAGCAGTTTTTGCATCATCTTAAGTGACTGTGGCTGACCAATTTACTACTCAAGTCGCAAAAATGTTCACCTCTCTCTCGTCAGTTGTGACAACCCACGAACTGCGATACAAATTTCGGCTGCCGCCACGGCAACTGTCGTCATGCCGCAACTCACTAGATCTGATCAAGCCATTCCATGCACTGGAAGCCAGACTGGGGTATATTTGTACTCTAACTACTCCACTGGACAACGAGCAATAAGCCATTTTTCGATGCCTCTCCACAAGGCGCCGAAATTCGGTCATGCGTGAATGAAAACTTATCCTCAGCTGGTGAATGTTTCGAGGGTATCTCTGGCTTTTGCCATATTTCGCCAAGAATAGAGGATTCCACTCATTTTACTCTATTCGTTGACTGCAGTTTGGTCATAAACTGCCACCAGCGGGAGTCGAACCGCGGGGTTAGGCATGTTTTTGTATTTAACCAGATCAGTTCTAGTCAGCAAAAATCAAGACATACTGTGGAGGGAAAGACATCTTGACGGACGAGATCTCAGTACAGAGTCACCAGGGTCGTATTCGGTCGTATTCCTCAAACAGAATTAAACTTATGCCAGGAATTGTTAGAAATATAACTTCTCTTCATATTGTTGCTGTTAATGTTTGCCATTTATTTTATATCATTATTAACTTAAATTACACAGACTACTTTTAATGATAACAAGTAGTATTAATAAGAAAAGCAGTGTTAACAATAATTATCCTGAATAATATGAAAGAGAATTAATATCTAGATATAGCTTAATTGTTTCTTTGTTCAGTATGCGTATATACAGCATGTAGGTTAAAGCCAAATAGCCTCCTTGACTGTAACTTTTTGTAAGAATGCATTTCAGCTTTGATGAAGATGCTGGGAAAGAGCTCAGCTTCAACCCGCTGTAGCACTGTTGGAATCAGCTCAGGTAGTTGGCTAAAAAGCAAAAGTCCCCATACCAAGCTTGAAATAGTCAGTAAAATGATCGGTAAATTCGTATGGGAAGTTAATTTTTTTGTGCCTAATTGACTGTGTAATGAGAATGGGATTTCTGACGTCCACCAAAAGATGTAGGCTGAAGGGAGACAGTTTTTAGCGGCATTGACTAACTCTGAATGAGGATCGCGACTGATCCCACTCCCTCGGTCTGTCCAACCCCCCCGCCCTGCCCGGATCACAGCCAAGCTGCCGTTGGTCAACTCGGGCAGCCTCTACTCGCTCCATCACCGCTTCATCGAGATGCTCAAGAGCCACTGTTGCTCGTCCGTCAGTCTGGCCGCGTCGGGAGCCCAGGCCGCAGTACCGGTTGACGGTTCAAGCCTGAGCCCCGCCTTCCCGGCCGGTCTCAATCCGGCCTGTCTGTTGGCTCGAGTCGACGCCGGAAAGGCCGACGAGTTGGTCCGGTTGGCATTCGCGAGGGTCGACTCAACCTACTTTTCCAGAGTTTTCGCCCAAAAAGACGCCATCCGCCACCTGACACGCACCCACCTCGTCCAGCCGCTCGCCCACATGCGCCACACCTCGCCCGGCGGCCACACCGCCCCGGACTGGCTGGCCGAAGTGCTCGACTTGAACCGTCTGGCCGACTAACCCACCGGCCAGTCTGGCCCCAGCCTACTTACAAGACTGTGTATATACTACTCATATACCATTTCATTTC